AATTTTTTTTATTTTTTTTGGGGGTCCCAAAACCCCCGGAAAAAAAAAAAAAAAAAAAAAAAAAAAAAACCCCCGCAGCAACAGTGATATAGTAGCCCAATTCCACGGGAAAACCGTGGACTTGGCAACACTGTGACTGATAGTAATGTCTACAATGGACACGAGCACTGTCACGGCACGACCACGACAGCTTTAAGTTGTCTAATTTGGCACGGTCTCCCTGCTGCACTAATAGTAGTAAGGCTTTCCTCTGTGTATACATATCCGTACACGTACAATTTTAGCTGTATTATTTGTGTCCCCTTCAAAAAATTGCTCTTGAGAAATTTAGTTTTTTGTCCCCCCCTACTGTTAGACAAAATTTACGCCCCTGTGTCAGTGGTCTTCAACTGAAATTGAGTATCTGCAGGATATTTAAGCATATATTTAAGATTTTTTAAGACCTGCACAAATGAAATTAAAATGACTGTAAAAAGCATGATTTAGAGTTCAGATACAGGTTTTCACAAAAACAAAGTTTTTTAAAGTGATTAACTTCACATTTCAGCCATTAAACCATTTTTTTAAAGAAAATGGAGGCAAACATATAAATTATTATATTAATTTAAACAAATATTATCAATTATTATCCTATTAATTAAATAACATAAATATATGTTACTGTCTTAATTGTTTACATTTTATAATACATTATCTTCTTGGCGATCCACCAGTTCACATTTACGTGTTTGCTGCATAAAAACATGGGCTGATTTTCATGTTGGTCTGAACAAAAACAGCGGACGGTGTAACGCTTTGGCTCGGATAACTCGTTAAATCCATGAAATGAAAGAGATGGAAAACGAAGAGTTGGTGTCCCACACATTTAATGGCTGGTACACGGCAAGGCGCTCCTCTCATACATGAGAGATTAACTCTTTTTTGGCGTTACAGATAAAAGTCAAGACAAAATAATAACAAGAAGGCAGAGCGAACTTATCATCCATAGTGGTTCTCGGTACACAGGCACGTAGTCCTTCTACGTCATCACCACATAGCGTGCGTTATAAGTTAAGTGATCAGTCTCACAGCATTATACTGTGATGCATGCAAATACATCGTTTTGGCCGTTACAAATTCCCCACCGGAAAGAAAAAGGCTGTCCCATATTTCATTATGTCAAAAGGCTTCGCGATCCGGATGGACGCATCTTGCGGTCAGTATTCGGACCGGAGTCCACCAATTGGCGACCCCTGAGATATACACACAATCCCACACCGAAATTCAGGACCTGATGAAACATAATTATATTATACAGAGATTTGTGAAATGAATTACCATGACTTTTCCTAAACTTTTCCAGGTCTGGAAATTGCCGTTTTAAAATGTCATGACTTTTCCAGGTTTTGCCATTTTAAAATTTCATGACTTTTCCATGCACAACCAATCACACACATCAATCTTCAATTACGCTTATATAAAATATTCAGTTGAAACAATAACACTTAATATAGAACCTGAAATGTGTAACAAACATTTTGTTGAAAACAATAATGACATTAATAATTTAAATCAAATATAAATGATCTCTTGAAGGCGGAAACCATGAAAATGACAGAAATACTTAAGAAAACTGACAGTAATTATAATCATGAAACATATATACAGTATATATATATATATATATATATACTGTATATATATATGGCAGGTTGTTATCTCTCTACTGGCATTCACTATGGCAATGGAGATCATAATTCAGGCATCCCGTTGGGTGGTTGGAGGGAACGTTTGAAAAATGGGTTGCAACTCCCTCCAATCAGGGCATACATGGATGATATGACTATCATCATAATGACAAAAGCATGTACTAAGCGGCTGCTGGATAAGCTCCGGGAAAACATCAGATGGGCACAAATGGAGATTAAA